GAGAGAGAGAGAGAGAGAGAGAGAGAGAGAGAGAGAGAGAGAGAGAGAGAGAGAGAGAGAGAGAGAGAGAGAGAGAATGGGTCATCTGAAGGAGGTGAGCGAGGAGCAGCGACGGCATGAGTCAGAACGGGAGGGAACGGGGAAGAACGGTGTGGAGTCTGGTGCGGCAATGGAGGTCAGTGATGAAGTCCGTGATGAGTCGAGGAGAGATCGTGGCAGTCTGTTTGGCCGCGGTCATTCTGCTGCTCCCCAGATCGAACAACACGGTGATGACAGAGACGAGCTTCGAAGAAGACGCGAACAAGAACGTCAGGTTGAAGAAGGAACTCGACCAGGACTAGGCTCAGACTTGCTAACGGAACCCATAGTTGCCGCAGTGCCATCTGGGACCGAACCAAGGCCCGGTAAGAGTAAACTTCTTTTTTTGTCCTTTTTGTTCTTTTCCCGAGAGTACTCTATAAGAGTCTACACCACTACCATCATTATTATTAGGGTTAATTTCAAAAATATTGCTGTTTCGAAGTTTGGCAGCAAAAATGTCGTCCCATCGAAGTTTCCTTTGCAAAAATAGAGAGGTTTCGTTGCAGCTTTATCGGGTTCCCATCATAGTTTGGCAGCAAAAATAAAAATACAGCGTTTTGCCAAGTTTCACAGCAAAGCACTCTCAGGGACTCAGGGACTCAGCGTTCTGGCCTCAGGCACTCAGCTTTTTTTTTCCTTTTTTTGTTTCTTCCTTTCCCGCGGGCGTGGCCGAGGCATCTCTGCCGTGGCCACGCCGAGATGCCTCGGCCACGTTTCTTGTTTTTTTTTTTTTTTTTTTTTCTGCGACCGTGGCCGAGGCATCTCGGCAGTGGGCACGCCCATGCCCCAAAAAAAAAAAAAAAAACGCTGAGTGCCTCAGGCCAGAACGCTGAGTCCCTGAGTCCCTGAGGCCAGARGTCTAGGGGTCCTTCGCTGTGAAACTGGGCAAAACGCGGTATTTTTGCTGCCAAACTATGGGAACGCGATAAAGCTGCAACGAAACCTCTATTTTTGCGAAGGAAACTTCGAGCGGACGACATTTTTGCTGCCAAACTTCGAAACAGCAATATTTTTGCTATGAACCCTTATTATTATTATTGTTATTTTCTCCCACTTCCATCTATGCCATGCATGGTTTACACCGTACTCTGAATGGACATCTTCATTTTTTTTCAGTTTGTTTCCCCCTTTTGTGAGGAACAAGCCCTCAAGGGCCCCTATCAGACATCACATGATCTGGGCCTACGTGACACCCGCGGCCTAGGCCGCGGGCAATTCGGCTGCCGCGGCCGTGGCCAATGAGGCCCTGTCTGTGGCCTGTTTTTTTATTTTTTTTTTATACCCCTAAAAATACGTAAAAATATATATATATTACATGGATATACAAGGTTGTAGAGCTTCAAAAACCCTACAGTCCTATAT